CAGGTGCTTTTCTTTTACGTGACGGTTTGGATAAATATGAAGGCAGATTTGGAAAGATTGAGGGTATTGCTCCTTCTTGGAGTCTAGGGCGGCCCATTTCCAACTTGAATATTGTCCCATCGAACAACTTCGTCTCGTAAAATCGTTTTATATCACTTACTGCAAAATGATGCTCGCATACATCATCCTTCTCTGAAAGTATTCGGTCGGCCCGAGGAATTGCATGTCTACATTTGTCTAGCAGCACAGGATCCTGTAAAATATATTTCAACAAGTATGTATAAATATCAGAATTCAGTTACATACAAAATTAAAATACTCTTGTTGTATGCATTTTTTTAACGTGACTTTGATGCAAATTTAATATTTAATGATTAAAATTTAATTTGAAAATAGTACTGGCAAATTAAAATTTAATTGCAGCACTAACGCTTGAATAATTTTACACATTCAAATTTAAAATCCTTGTGCATAATGGTTCTCACTGTGCAGTGTATCAAGATTTAAATCTTAACTTTTAACAGCCATTCAATTATGTGATTAGGTGGCATGATTTTATAATATTCATAACTTATTTAATATGCTGAATTTATCTCATGGAAAATCAATTTTTCATTACACTTATCTGCTGTTATGTTTACATTCAACCATGCAAGTGAAGTTAATTTTAAGCAGCACAGTGTTCATTTCCATGTATTATAAAAAACTACTTCAAACGGAAAAGAAGGGGAAATGAGTTAATCTTCTTTTCTGTAAATGAAATAAAGAGGCAAATATTCCATCATTCTTGCATAATTCCAGAAATTTATTTAACTTTAAAATCTCAGGATTGCCTGCTTTCATGCACGAAATGCAAATGCACATAAGTTATGTGAAATATTTAACTAATTTCCAATTTAAAGTTCTGTGAAATAATTTAACTAATTTCCAGTCTATTATTTTTTAAATACCCTCTTATTCTATCTCTAGCAATCCAGACGTTCTGTAAAGTTATATAAATTCATCTGACTGTGATCGGGCATGATATTAATGTTGCTCACCTTTGGAGCTCTTAATATACTTGGATTCTTGATTCCCAAGCTTTTATTCTTCTGCCTAACAGATGTATAACCAGTGTTGCATCTAGGGACGAAGCAGGTTGCACTATAAGAATTACTCATGATGGAAATTGACATCAAATCAATATTTCTGTATTGCTGCCTATGTCAAATCCTACGAAAAGCAGAACAGCTAACGATTGCAGCGCCCTCTATAAATAATGCGACAAAAGTGGACCAATTTGGGAAAAGTCACATTCCGAGGTGGGACAGCGTTCGAGATAGACGTCTTATCGCTTTGCTCTCCGTTTCCTTGCGTTGCTACCACCCCCGCTACTGTACCGAGTTCATCGACCTCGCCTCACGGGCTCTGGGTTGTTTCTTTTTCGGCTTTCGCCTCGCAAAAGCGTCGCCTTAACTCCACTGCTGCACCATTCGCTGGATAAAACAGGTCGTATTTTATTCTTTCTTCTGATTTTCTTTATTTACCGTGCTGATAAGGGTACCTTCGGGTACGGCCTCTAGTTATGCCTTTTTTCCAACTTATTTACCTCACATGATTAATCAATATGACACAACAAACATAACTGTAGCTAATAATAACATAAACATGGAAAACTCACGTCCAAACTCAGAAAATCCTCACATGAGACATCCCGATGAACCCAACGTTCTCCAAATATTAAGTCACAAAATTACTTTATCCAATGACGTCGAAACTACCAGATCCTTGGTGGAAGATATCCAAGATATCCGTAACGACACCAAATGTGATTATGTGTCCGCTAGTGATTCAAAAAGAAACTAAACTTTCTCCTTGTGTAAATGCAATTAATCAACTGCGCATGCAGGAAAACGAGATGGCCAATGCAGAAATAAACGAATTACAAGCCTCTAATGATAAACTCGCTAACAGTTTGAAGAGATTAAAAACTTCTACGACATACTTCAATCTACCAGTGACTTCAAAAAACAGAGAAAAAGAAATTTGCGCCATAGACAAACGGATTCTGACTCCGATAACCCTCAAAACCAGCAATCGATATAAACAATTGGAGAACCAAATAGACGACATGCATTTGAATAACAAAGATGAATCAGCCTCTCAGTTCACTACCATCTTAAAAGACCAACCAAACAAAAGTGACACCATTCACACAAATAGAAAACCAAACTCGACTTAAAAACGAACAGAATTGATAAAGTGCCTGTTATTGTCGAAGATGACGTCCCAAAAGCAGATGAATCCTTAAAAACCTTAAACAAGCAAACCGCAAAAGAAATAACTGGCACCTTAAAAAAGGACGCCGCCTTGAAATGCACAGCCTGCAGACTTCTGACTCACATCGATTCCTTCGCAAAATAGTAGAAGAAAAAAAACTTAAGGCCAAAGCCCACACCTACTTACTTGCCCGAAGATAAAGGTTTCAAAAGTCATAATAAGAGGCTTACCCATCACCACAGATCCCCAAACCATCACTCAAGAATTACCTTGACAAAGGATTCAAGGTTAACTTTATACACTATTAAGAAACATAAAAGAAAACAAACCAATGCCGCTTTTCTTAGTACATATACCAAAATCAGAAGAAAATAAGGAAGTATTCAAAATCAAACGCATAGGTTATATGAACGTAACAATAGAATCATTACGCAAGAAACCTGGCCCTCCACAATGCTATAGATGCCAGGGATTTTTTCACAGTTCCCTGCTCTGCACCAGAGACTGGGTTGCGTCCGTTGCGGAGGCAATCACAAACCTATAGAATGCACCCGTAGTCGCGACCAGCCAGCCATATGTTATCACTGCAAAGGTCCTCACCCAGCCAACTTTTCAAATTGCCCAGCCAGACCAAAAAACAAACATGTTCAGTTCCAACCCAGTCCTCTACCAGCAACCATTCCCTGGACTAACAGAAAACAAGACTTTCCTCCGCTGACATCAAACAGTAACGAAAATATCGCTCAAACCTCCATTCAAAACGAAATTCTAACAGAAGAAACTACCAGCACCGCAGAATCCTCCCTGTCAGACCTCTTTGACTTCTCTACGCTAAAAACAATCTGGACAATAGTGATACAAGGACTCAAAAACATTAAAACCAAGAAATCACCTCTTGATTAAAATAATCGCAGTAGTCGAAAATCATTGAAAAAATAGGAAATCATCTTTAATGCTAATAATTCAAGAACAGATGCAACATAAAAATCCTCTCTTGGAACGCTAACGGTCTTTACCATAAAAAAGATGAATTATCGAACCTCATTATTGAAATTGAACCTGACGTAATACTCATACAAGAGACTCACCTTAAACCAGCACTCAAAGTACTTTAAATAAGGAAGTTATTACTAAGCTAATTATAACACCTACCGTACTGATCGTGAGACAGGAAGAGGCGGTGGCATCATCACATTTGTTAAAAGGAGCATAAAACACGCTCAAATTCCTAATTCCAGTACCACTTTCGAAAGTAACACAATAGAAATTGTAATAGAACATAAAAAATTCAAAATTTCGAATATATACATCCCACCAAATAATAATCCCAGCTCACAAGAATTGATTCACCTCCTTAATTCTAATACTTCTACCATTGTCGGAGGGGACTTCAACGCCAAACACCCCTGTTGGAACCGAGGACCTACTAACAAAAAAGGAAATGACATATTTAAGCTCATTCAATCAACATGCATTTGGACAACGAAGATGAATCAGCCACTCAGCTCACTACCACCCCAAAAGACCAACCAAACAAAAGTGACACCATTCCCGTAAATAGAAAACCAAACTACAGCCCCAAAACAAGCAGAATTGATAAAGTGCCAATTATTGTCGTATATGACGTACCAAAAGCGGATGAATTCTTAAAAAACTTAAACAAGCAAACCGGAAAAGAGATAGACGAGCCCACCCATTACGGGTACAATAGCGCCACCACAATTGACTTTTTCATCTCAAATAACATTACTAACAGATGCAATATCTCTGTAATTTCAGCCCTGTCTTCCGACCACAACCCCATTGTATTTGAAATCCCCATTAATAAATACCTCCCCTCACTTGACAGAAGTATAGGAGTTACAAATTAGATCAAATACTCTGAAATTCTGAATAACTCCATACAAGGTACCCATGCATCAACAACACAGAAGATTTAGAACACGAAGTCTCAGAATTTACCAACAGCATCAATTCTGCTTTAAAGGAAGCCACCAATACTTTTTATGTGAACAAGCCTTTCCTTCCTCTGCCTGCCGATATAAGAAATAGGATTAAAGAGAAAAACCGGATGCGCAAAAGATGGCAAACCACCAGGGATCCACAACTCAAACACGAACTAAACTCTATGCAAAAAGAAATCAACAGACGAATCAAGAACTTCAAAAACCAAAAATGGACCATTTTCCTAAATAACCTTGCTATAGAGGACAATTCCCTATTTGACATTTCCCGCAAATTCAAGAAACCTTATAAACCTATTCCACCTATCCATGGACCTAGTGGAACTTCATATACAGAAGAAGATAAAGCTAAATCTTTTGCGGACTATATGGAAAATACATTCACTCTTAATCTCACTCCGTACGACAATAACCATATTGAACGGGTCAACCAGGTGGTCAATAACTTCCTTAACACCCCTGCTCCGTACAACTTCACTTTCCTGACTACCCCAACCATCGTTGCCAACACCATCAGCGCCTTACAAACGAAGAAAGCCCTTCCCTCCTTGTTCTGCCTCCCACTTTTTTTTTTTTTTTTTTTTTTTCATCTCACTTTTCAAGTTCCTTTGCTTAGTAAAGGTAGTTTTCAGCATTAGTTTATGTTACAAGAACTATCACGACTTCTCTCAATGCTAACTTTTGTTTCTTCATAACTACCAAAGTTTTATTCAATTTTATTCATAACTAGGTGATGAGCCTCGGAAGTGACATCACGCAAACGTCTTCGTTACCTTTAGTATTCCAACGCATGCGCAAAACGTTTGGAGAGACAATAGCTGGATCCGGTATTGTTTTCCGTAAGTCAGGTTGTGAAGTGTTTTCTGGGTCTCTGTTATCCGTTATTCTGAAAAGTGTTTGACGTTCTGACACGTGCTGTTGGCTTTTCGCTATGGTAAGATTAATTAGTTTAAATTTTTTTAATGAATTAGTATGGACGGTTGCTAATTTCCATTGTGGAATTATAATTTGGGTTCTCTTCCAGTGTAGTTTTTGATTCGCTTCTGGAAATGGCCATTTTATGGGCCAAAATGTAATGAAATTTTCTCATATATGTATATATGAATAGCCATAATGCGTTATTCAACTTAAGTATTGCCTATTGAAAGCAAAAATCGAAACTTAATCATGTACTACATATTGCCATGATTTATTGTAATTTTTATGCCAAAATTTTATGGTAGCCGATTATACTTATTAGATATCGAAAAGCAAATGTATTCTTGCTATTCTGGTGTTAAGAATCCCAAATTTCGCCAATTGCCGGTTTTGGAAGCATCGCCCAATGAGTGTTAAGAAGTTAAATAATGCGAAAAGAAGAATGTTATTTAATTATAAAAAAAATAAAATTAGTTAATGGAGTAAGCTTTTTATTCTCCCAAGTCTAGGGGAATATTTTTTGTGTTGAATGTAGGAATATGCTGCAAACATTAGCTTAGTAGATGAACATTTGACAGCAGCCAAATTTTTGTGACTAAATCAAATTGTCATCAATATATATACATGTAAAAATGAAAAGTTTCTCATTGTTTTTAATCGGAAGGCTTTTTATTTCAAAGTCTTGGTTTGGTTTAAAACCACAATTCAAAAATTCATTTTTCATGCCCAATTTTTCATTTTGTTAAAGAAATAAATTTCTTTTCTGGTAGTTTATATATTTTATTTTTTAGAATTAGTAAAATTTTTGCGTTAAACAGCAATTTGTCAGCAGCATTTTGCAAAATTCTGCTTCACTCTTTTTAAACAGTTTACTCACTTTTAAAAATATGCTACCTCTTTGCCATTTCAAACATAATATGATAATTTGATACATTTTGCTTTCTACCACCTAAATATTTCTTCTTTTATAACTGAAATAGGTATTTAATTATTGAATAAATTGATAGCTGTGGCCTAAAAAGGCGTGAGTAACATATTTTTTATTGAAATAAAATTTGTTTTTAATGTGCAAGATTACTTTTCTTACAATGCTGGGCTCATGGTTCTTAAATCCTCCTGTTCTTGAGTACAGAAACCTTCATTATTAATATTATTCAAATAGTTAAATGCGTTTTAAACCATACGAAAGTTAAAATGAAAAATAGTACTTTAATGTCAATTTAATATATGCAATAATGTAAATTTCTTAGAAATTGTTCAGTAGTTTTACTTTTAAACAATGGCTTTGCTTCGATATAAAAGACGTGTTTAATTAGTTCATCAAAAAGTTGTTAGAGACCCTATCGAAACAGGAACTAGCATATTTTTCCACTCTGCAGTTTTACTGCAAAAACAGAATCATCTCTCTAAAATGGTTAAGAAATATTTAATTCCTTTCGTTTTGCAGTTATTGAAATTTTTAAAATAATTGAAATTCTAACTAAATCCTTAGATAAAAGTTATTCAAGAACTAAAGAAATGCAAGAAAGGGGTTAACTTCAGTTACAAGTAAAGTTTCAAATATTGTTATTTTCTAGTAACTAACAAAAAAACATTTAAAATCCTCTTTTACTTCTGACCAACCTTCATTTGCTCTCCTGCCACCCCTCTCCCTTCTGAGGCCGCTCTTTGGCACCCCAGGTTCGATGGGGGATAAAGCAATTAAGCAAGGCTCTTTAACTACTTTTTCACATAGCTGGGGGCAAAAGAAAAAGAACTCGATGTTTTCCCGCCTGAATAGCCAGCGAGAAAACTGCATAACAAAAGCCCACTTAAAAACAGCACGAATTTTCAGGAAATCCAAAGTAGCTATGACTTCGTGAAAAATTTTACGAGCAATAATTATTATGATTAAAAATGAAATTTCAAGTGGGAATGAAATTAATTTATGTAAAATCCAAGTTGTCAAAATTTAACTAGATTATTTGTGACAGTGCACGTAAATGTTTTCTTAATCATAATAAACTCACTTCCAAAAGTTAAGCACGAAGATGTAAAATGCAAAAAAATCAACAAATACGGTTAATCTTTGGATTATGGTAACTTGGCGAAAATTTGGCGACCAACTCTGCTACAGCAACCCTCTATTTTTTTTTTTTCGCCGCCATTTTGTCTTCACGAAGTAAAGACATATTTCTTTTCTTTTTATTTACTCAACACTTTTTCCAACAATCTGCTAGCCGAATTGCACTTATGCTAGAAATTTTATGGAACAAAACTGCTTAATCATGACAAATATTAACTGCAAAATTGGGAAAAAGTGCAGAATAGCAAACTCCTTGCCGCGTTTTTCAAAATCGCACATACACAGTAACCATGTACACGTCGACTTATTTTTAACTTAAAAAAAAATCCCAGAATTGCACAAAAATCACATTGCATACGCTCTGGACTTTATCCATCTAAACTGCTATTTTCTCATAAATTACAAAAATTTTCACAAAAATTCAGGAAAATTTTGTGAATCTTTAAACTCGGTAAAAAGCACATATATGAAATTGCCTGATCGCGAAAAAGTATATACCCTATCCAAGGATGAACATTTCCATGTATAATATAAAAAAATATCCAAAAACTTTTACCTCTAAATTATCTATTATAAACGTCACCAACGAATTCATAACAAAACATCAAAAATGGTTACAAATACTTAGTGTCAAATATTTAAATTATTTCCATGCACGTTTACATCCACTCAAACGTATACCAAATTTCTACAAACATATAATTCACAAAATACGAGGGCCATCCAGGAAGTAGATTACGTTTCCGTCTGTGTCCGCTACGGGCGGGGCTAGCACGGCCATCTTGGGGTCAAAGCGTTGCGCAGCTCAGTCTGCATCTAGCCGTGCTAGTGAGAGGTTCGTGCTGTGCTCCGTTCAGATACTGTGACGGTTTGAAATGTCTGCGTTAATTGAAAATCCTGCGAGGTGCGCTCAGTAATAAGGTTTCTGACTGCAAAAAACTGTAAACCGATAGAAATCTATCGGCAGCTTCGTGAAGTGTATGGGGACAACATTATCACTGAAGGTGGAGTGCGTCAGTGGGTCATAAGATTTCAAAATGGCCGAACCAATGTTCACGACGAAGATCGAAGTGGGAGACCCAGCATAGTGGACCGCCGAACTTCTCGAAAAAAAGTCGATGCTAAAGTCCGTGAAAATCGAAATTTCACAATAACGGAACTTTCTTTGAGTTTTCCACAAATTTCGCGAAGTTTGTTGCACGAAATCATCAGCGAAAAGCTTGGTTACCACAAGTTTTGTGCAAGATGGATTCCAAAAATCTTGACAGAGGACCACAAAAATCAGCGAATGGCTGCAGCGTTGAACTTTTTGGACGCTTACCATAAGGATGGTGACTCTTTACTCGATCGCATCGTTACTGGTGACGAAACATGGGTGAAACATGTGAACTATGAAACGAAATTGCAATCAATGCAGTGGGGGCACACAAGTTCTCCCCAAAAACCCAAGAAATGCATGCAAACAATGTCGGCAAGGAAGATGATGGCGACTGTTTTTTGGGACAGAAAAGGTGTAATTTTGGTGGACTTCCTGGAAAGAGGCACTACAATAAACTCTCAAAGGTATTGTCAAACTCTCCAAAAACTCAGAAGAGCAATTCAAAACAAGCGCAGAGGAATGTTGAGCTCTAAGATCTTGTTGATTCACGACAACGCCCGGCCCCGCACGGCAAATGTCACTCGTAAAGTTCTTGAATCTTTTAAGTGGGAGTTGTTTCCTCATCCGCCGTACAGTCCCGACCTGGCACCGAGCGACTTCCACCTATTCCCAGCAATGAAGAAGTGGCTGGCTATGCAGCGTTTTGATGACGACGCACAGCTGCAAGAAGAGGTAACGAAGTGGTTGAAGGCGCAGGCGGCCGAATTTTTCGACGAAGGAATTTCCAAGCTCGTACATCGCTACGATAAATGCCTTAATTTGTATGGTGACTATGTAGAAAAGTAGTATTTGAGTGTGGCTTTCATCTGTATATAATAAAATTTGTTTCCTATAACTTTGTTTATTTTTTTATATTCCAAAACGTAATCTACTTTCTGGATAGCCCTCGTAACTATTGTTTAATTAAAATATAATTAAACCATGTACACGTCGACTTATTTTTACTTAAAAAAACATCCCAGAATTGCACAAAAATGGCATTGCGCATGCTCTTCACTATATCCATGTACATTGCTTTTTTCTCATAAATTAGAAAAATTTCACGAAAATGCAAGAAAATTTTGTGAATCTTTAAATTCCTTAAAAAGAACATATATGAAATTACCTGATCGTGAAAAAGTATATACCCTTTCCAAGGATGAACATTTGCACGTATAAAATAAATAAAATATCCAAAAACTTTTTCCTCTAAATTATTTATTATAAACCTCACCTGCCAATTTTTAACGCAAACATTAAAAATGGTTCCAAATACTTAGTGTCAGATACTTAAATTCTTTCCATGCACATTTACTTCTACTTAAACGTATTCCAAAATACTACAAACATATAACTCTCAAAATCACGATCATTAAATTAAAATATAATTAAATTAAAAAACACTACTTAAAATATAAATAAGCACATGCATTAAATTAATAAAAATTAGCTTACAATCCTAATTACTTTAAACTAAATCATTGCTAATAACAATTTTCTAATAATACCATATTAATTTACTCCTTACTTTTAGAACAATGCATAAAAATAATATCCTCAAATAATTAAAAATACTAACTTACCTAATCTTCTACAGAATCTTGAGTGCATGGTGGGTCACAAAATGTCCATTTTCACCAGATTTCCTGCACCGCCATTCAAACTTATCTGTAATATCCTTCCTTTTACACAATCTCATTTCATACCCACATGTTGGACATTCCAGTCGCAATTAAGCAATTCTTTTCAATTACACATAAACGCAATAAAAATTTCGGATTTACTTTATATAGGGCCATGGGATCCAAATATT